TTTTAAAAGGTAAACGTCCATATCCTAACTATAGATTCCGCTGCATTAGGATTTATTTCAATAAAGTTCAATACTTTGCATGTTGTTTGACGTTCCTAACAGAATCCAACAACTGGTATCAGAGCCCAGGCTTAATGCAAACTCTTGCACAGTTTGAATTTTAGACTTTGCCTGTCTACATGAATTATGTGCATATGGACGCAGTGGCATAGTAGATTAGAAATTGCAATAAGTTTTGCAGGTGTTTCGTATCCGACTATTGTAGCCCGTATGTATGGATTTAATTCATGTTGAATGTATGTTGTTTTTAAAGCCTTGGACATGTCAAGGAATTTTTGGGTTGGCGAGTGCTTGTAATAAATTATTCGCGCGGTGGGGCACCGCATAGTTTATTGTTTTCATAGAAACTCATGTACGGCTCCTGCGTGGGTCATAGGATGAATTATGTATTGTTGTTTATATTATTCGTTATTGATCCGGCGAGCGTGGACCAACCTTGACGGGACAAGGCGATAAACACGTACACGGATGCCATGGTGAAGATCTAATGGCGACTTTCCCGGAGACAACCAATCCAGTGGGAGTCACTGCGAAAGGGGAGTTCCAATACCTGAAACGGAGGACACACTCAACAAGGACAAGAATGTGTTTTCTCCGTAACATTGGAGATTGATTAATGGCCATGATAGTTGGATTATAGTTCCTAGTTTATTATTGCTCATTAATCATGCATGTTTTATGTGTTGCTTTTGTGCAAATACAAACATATTTTAGAAAATCCCATAAAATAAAAATTATATTATTTTGTAATGGGTTGAAATAAATTACATCCAAGGCCTCCATTTTAGGTTTGTCAGTGAAGTGATTTAATTCAATCCCAAAGGACGTTTTATTTCACAGTTCACAAGGACAAATCTCCTTCGGGATGGTTATAGTGAGCTATTTCAAAAGCGTACGGGTCACCCAAAGGTGGACGTATAATTTTTGTAGAAAACTTAGTACCAATTAATGGGTTACGCTTAAAGTGCAAATAATTACGATAGTCCCAAAGGACAAGGTCGTTTTTAATCTTTTATAAAGTTAATTGCGCTGGCCAAAAAGATGAAACCGACTATTAGTTAAATATTGCTCGGTAGTATGTTAAGTTAATTTATTTATCCCTCCTCTTGCGAATGTTTGAACCGTAGACGTCTACACTCAGTGGCCTGCGGGGATTCGGTGTTTTGAGGTGTTGGTGAATTTATTTAAATATTGTTAAATGGGATCAATAATTGATGTATAAATTCAAAACTACTTGATTGAGTAAAGACTATGTTTGCGTGATCCCAGGAATTCAAAATGTCTTTCAATCCGTTGTCCGTAATTCTCAAAGAAAACAAACTTGTTGGTCCCAGTTATATTGACTGGAAAAGAAACTTGGATATAGTGTTAACTGCTGAAGGGTACAAATTTGCTACAGTTGAGGCTTGTCCGGCTGTGCCTGCTGATAATACACCAGACCAAGAGAAAGAGGAGTATGCTCGGTGGAAAAAGGCTGACGAGAT